TTGTCGTTGAATGGTTAGATTCTAGCATATTTGAGACAGCTGAACTCCCCGTTACAGACGAGGCGATACCGTCAGCCGTGGACAGGCTAAAAGACTCATTGGACTCGGCCGCTCGTCAGTCAAGCATATCTTCAGCCAAGATCGGTCGCAAAGTTAGTCATCGACCATCACAACAACAGGCGCGACCACAAACATACTCAGCTTTGCTGATAAAAAGTTATGAACTTCAAAGGGACATGAAAGCGGAGGCACTGACTGAGACACCCAAAGCCTACACGTGGAAAGGGGATTGGTTACAGCGTGGGTCGGAACCAGCCGATTATCGTTGTCAACCTGGTCGTCTGGGCGCGAACAGCCAGTTTATACTTCAACCAATCCCCTTGCCCAAACCCGGAGTGACACGATACCCGTTTCCAACGAGCAAAGAATTATATCAACGAAAGAAAGCGCTTCAACACGAATGGATTAATTTACAATTGTACAATCAATCGATGAGAAAATTGTTTGAAAAGCTGGACAATTTGAAAGGTAATTTCAAACATGATTTCAGTCAAGACAAAATGGTTGTTGTAAGCGGTCCACATAATGTTTGTGCACCGGTAGGATTAGCTAAAGAAAATCTATAGGCCCCACTGTAATAAACTGACAGTAAGGTTTTTCCCTTTGGAATGCACACTTTTCAACCGGCACTGTACATTCTAAAGTACAGTATGATTTGACATCCATTTTTGATTCGAAGCTCATTGGTTAGCAGTTGCTCGTGGTACACGGTGTTTTACTTTCTGAAGACCGTTCTGTGTCGAATGAAATGACATCATCCAAGGCTTGAGCAGTGTCAACTAGATTGAACTACTTTTGTAATTGCCGTATCGTTTAAGTGATAAAGTCGAGTACACATTGAAGCCCCGATGCGGTCTGCACTGTTTGTGTATGTGAAACCTGAACTGTGTGTGTGTGTGCGTGTGTGTGTGTGTGTGTGTGTGTGTGTGTGTGTGTGTGTGTGTGTGTGTGTGT